GCTTACTACAAACTGAGTGAGATATTTACTGTAAGAAATTATTTGTTTTGGTTCCATTAATTTATTGAAACACTGAGCAGAACTTTTGATACATGATTGTCTTTTTATGAAGCTGGGAATTCAAATGTAGTCAGAAGATTAAACTAATGTATTTCACATACAATTACTATGGTACTCCTAAGCTGCAGGTCAATGAGGCTCTCCTAACTGAATTTCCATCAAACCCTCCAAGTAAATGCTGTGATAGTATCTAATTAGGACAGAATCATTCCCCACATCTTTCGCTATATTATTCTACCATTCCGTGTTATTTAATGTGATGTCAGTGAAAAATTATTAAATAAACAAGAGATAGTAAGTTAAAACACTTAGTATGAATATTTTCAAAGAGCACAATCTCTTGAATAACAACAAAATATGTTCATTTTCAGACTAGTAGGGAATAAGTTCTTCCAAGTGAAATTGGCCAAATGAATCTTCATTTATGCTATGTCCATTGACATGATACAGTGGAATGAATTTAATTTTATCGAGAGGGAAGAAAATATATGGACATACTCTGCTTTTGTTCCTTCCTAATTATATTTTTGTCTACCTGTATGTAGTCTCTTACCTTTTTGCAGGTTCTTTGAATGTCTTCCCCTTTAGTCTGACATTTGCATGAGTGGTTGGCTAATGTCAGTTAAATGAACTGAAGTAATCATTAAAAATAATGTGGAAGCATCCATGGCAGAGACATGAAGCTATAATCCATCTTCTGTCTCTGTTTGTCATGGACACATTATATCAAAGGGAGTTCTTTTTGCTTTATCTTATAAATTTTAAAAGGTGTTTATTGGACAGCCAAGGGACCTAAGAGGAGACAGTCACAGATTGTTTTAAGGTTCTGACCTAGCATTCACTTGGATGGACTGAGAAAAAACATGGGAAGATTCTCAGTATAGCAGTTCTTCTGGGATTAAAATTAAGGACTGCCAGAAAGTGAGTCAGCTTTGTTACTCCTGAAGTGACGTGTTTGATGAAGTTAATAATTTTTACATAATTGAAATTTATATTCTGCAGGGGTAAAAGATGCTGTTTCATGTAAATTGACCACTTTTATGTCTTTGGTAATAATATATTGGAAAAGCCAATAAAAATGCATTTTCCTCTATTTGTTTATAACAATTCTGGATTATGTCTGTTGTGTTGATGTTCTGTTTGCTCCAGGTACGAGGCACCAACCATAATAATATGAAAACAGTGCAGGTACCAGAGGTGGCTTCTTCCCTGAACTCTGATTATGTTTTCATTCTTAAAGATCGAAAAGTTACTACTCCCGAGAACTCTGATTATGAATCCAATGTCTGGGTTGGAAAGGTATGTACACAATGCTGCACCTGTATTTACTTCAACTTTTATTGTCCTTGAGTTGCATCTTACTAACAGTCCAGCTTTATATGTGTTGCAATAACGTACTGCTAAACCATTAACCCTTTGATTTATTCTACACACTAATGTTGCAGTTAATTTTTTCTCTTGATAACAGTTTTGTTGATCTTCAAATCAGACTTGCGATAAATTTTCTGCTACTGCTAGTGCTACTGTACTACTTGCACCTCTTGGTCCCCTACATATCTTGCACTGCACCAGCATTATTTTAGTCACACTTTGCTTTGATTTACTAACTCTGTGACTAGACTCTTATGAGCCTGACTCCCACCCCAACTCTCTCTGGGTGTCATAGTGGCTGGAGAACGGCCCAGCTCATTGGAGAATGTTCCCATCTTTCCACATGTTTTTAGAGAGTCACAGAAAATCATTCAATAATGTTTGATATGCATGCACACCTTAATGAAACATTGCCAGCCAGCACTAGAAGGAATAGGAAGCCCTCAGGCATACAATGCTGCCCCTATACCTGAGACTGATGGTTTAAAGGTTCACCCCCTTCCAACTCAGAGGATGGAACCAAAGCCACAACTACCCAAACAGCCACAGGCCTATGAATTGAGGAAACAGAGCCCTTCTGGCCAACACCTTGATCGTGCAAATAGCAAGCGCGAGGGCACCCCTCCTAATCCAAAATTATCCTGCATAAGTGTTTAGCAACTATCAAAGTGAAAAGGCATAATGTGATGAAGTAGATGCACCTGATCATATGGATAATATGGACGCACTCCAGTCGAATGTGAACAGTTACACACTCATGTTTCTGAACTTAATATTATATGAAGAAGCTTCACTCCAGCAGCAGGTCCATTGAATAATATTGGTTTTAATTTTATCTTGGCTGGCTGACAAGAAACCTAGCAAGTCAGAAGATTAATTCTGTTGCAACTGGTGTCAAAAGCAGAACCAAATATGTATTCAACATTAGAGTTCTTTTTTTATAGGAATCTTGCGTACCCACTCAGCATTGCTTCTGTGTTCTTTGTTGGTCGCCTCACTGTGCGCTTCTTCTGCTCTGCTCTGTCAGCAGTTAACTGCATGCTGTTGCTCTCAACCCACAACTGAACTGAACTTGAAACCACTGCATCACCCTTGTATAGGTAATGAGAGAGCTCTCAATCCTCCCACTTTATTCAACATAATATGAGATCCTCCTGGAAACATCTCGTGCAGTGTGGACACAGGTTACCTGATGCAATCACAGCTAGCCATGAGAAGTTGCACGAAGTAAATTGTGCTGTTACAACAAATTTTCATGATATATCATGCACTGTTTTCAAATAATGAATTGGACTTCATAATTATAGAAACACTAAATATGCCTAATTGCTACCCTTTTGCTATTTATGTTTTTAATTTGCTTGCCTTTTACTGCAGGGTACAAGTGCAGAAGAGAAAGAGATGGCACTAAAAGCAGTAAATTATGTAGCACCAGGCTTGCCTATAAGAATAATAAATGAGGGGGAGGAATCTGCTAAATTTTGGAATGTTCTGGGAGGAGAAGGTGAATATAAAAGTGGTTATGACGGCCAGGGTACGCCATTACTGGTTCCCCGCCTGTTCCATTACCACGTGTCACCAGCTGCCAAGCTCCGAGTTGAGGAAATATCACATTTCAAGCAAGAGGTATAACACCGACAAATTATTTTCTGTAGTTAGTCTTTATCATTTGACTTCATTAGTAACTTGATACTTCAAACACCATTTTATCCAGTTTTCAATTCTTTAGATTATATTAGATTTAAAAGTATCATGTGATTATGGTTTAACTTTCTTGTTTCTTTGAATACATACATGACTCATGAGTTGCACCATTTATTACTATTACAGTTAACTGTAAATGTGTAAATTTGAATTACATAAATTTTAATTATTCAATTGTTATGGTTATTACCTGCCAGTTATGGCAATTGAAGCGAGTGACATTGTCTTTGTAATGGTCTGGAAATAAATACTGATATAATTATGCCGATTTTTAAAGAAATAATGGGAGTGATTTAGCTTTTATTATAGATATTTCACTTATTTATAATTAAATTTGCATTTTATCATAAGGTACAATTATTTTAATGTGTTATTGATAATGTCCTGTTATTGTTTGTGGATATAGATATCAATTTATCTTTGCTTTAGAACAGCGTTTCTCAACCTATGGTATGTGTACCACTGGTGAGCCAGGTTAAATTAACTATCCAGGCCACAAAATGGGCATTTATAGCATTATGATCAGGGTAATAAGAACTTAAAACAGTATTTTGATGATGTTCTTCAGGATTCTGGTGCAGTGTAGACTTGCAGGTAGATGTAAACATTTCAGTATGTTTCTCTGAAATGTTTGCATTTTCCTACAAGTCTACACTGTATGTCTACCCAGTACCAGAACTCATAAGAACAACATAATCACTATCCTCAGTGCTGTGCAAACCTGACATTCATATTGAATCATATGTATTATGCAGGATCTTGATGAAGACGATATTATGGTCTTGGACTCTAGAGATGAGATCTATGTTTGGGTTGGAAACAAGGCATCACAAGATGAAAGACAGCTGAGCATGAAGATGGCTGAGGTATGCAATTATTAGTTAATGTTTTATTTTCTAGTTTGAAGGGTTTTGAAAATAGTTGCTTCATTACTTCAGTTGTATGGTGAGCATTGTTTACTGTCTGGTGTATATTTGATTAACATGATATTTCTGACACTGTTACTTATTATGGTTTTGTGAAGAACTCACCTTCATGATTTATTTTTTGAAACAATTTTTTGATTATATGAATTAATTCCCCTTTTGGCACTGATGATGACCTCCTGAGGTCAAAACACGTTTGGCAATAGTGTCATTTATAGTGTTAACAGTTTGTTAATTTACTTATTTTATATTCTAATATACTACACAGTATGCAAAAAAAGTTATAAGCTATAAAAAGTGTATTCTTAACCCATTTAAATATAATTTAATGCTTAAGTGTGGCCCTTCAGGCCTCAAAATTGTTGGTAGTTTTCCCTGAGTCATAGTCTGTCTGTATTACGTCGCAAATTGTGTAATAAAATCTTCATTTCTCATGGAGAATGACAGTGTTTTGTCCCCTAATGTTGTATTGACTGAAGGCTGACAGAAGGGGGCTTGTGATAATATATGTTCTGTGACACTGAAGTGCAATAAGCATTGACCATGGCAGATTTAGGCAGCTCAGTGGTTGGGACTGAATCAGAGACATACTGAAAGTATAATTCTTTCTGCTAACCACCAGAGACTCATAGGATTGTATGCTAATGTCTGGTCTTTTATATTAGTAATGAAACTTCTGTTGCAGTGCAAAAAATTTGTATCGAGATGTCACATCCACATATGAATATAATTTTTGAAATAAAAATAGTCTTTTATTTGGTTAAATTCCAGGAATATCTGAAAAGTGACCCAACTGACAGAAGCCATGAACTAACACTTATCTTCATAGTGAAGCAGGGCGATGAACCTGCCAGCTTCACTTCCTTGTTTCCAAGTTGGGATCCCAGTTTGTGGGAGGTATGTGGTGTCTAACAATAACTTTTATTTTATAAACTTAACAGCTTGTGTGATCAAACATAATACTAACCCCATAACTGTTAAGTGTGATATTGTTTCTTGCCACAGTAATGTTACTATGATTGAACACTGTTTCAGAGCACGATTTAAATTCTACATATAAGCTGTACCCAAAAAGTTTGTGGACATTTCAGATGTTTTGTGCATACTGGGCCTAAGTTATTGACTCGGATCATTAACCTTACTGACTATTGCAATTATTTACTACTTAAAATGAAAACACTGCTTCTTCCCAATTTGAGTGAAAGTTGTAGCCTACTTTCCTTTCTTATGGAAAAATACCAGAAAACATGTTGTGTGTGTGAGTGTGATTTTCCTTTCAATTCAGATGATGATTTTAATGAATTTTGGTATGAAGGCTACTCCAGTCTCATACCTCTTTAACTAGGGTACTGCTTTTGGACATCCTGATTAGGGTTTCTCTAGTACCATGTACCCCAGTTGCCATAGGACTCTGGTTCTGTTTTGGGTCTTCCTGGTTCTAATCTTCCTGTTCATACCTCCAGACAGTTATTTTTTCAGCATTCTTGGATTGACAGATACTGTCAACTTCCCAAGGTGGTATGCCAGAACTTTTGGCTCTGTGGTGAGAGGAATTGACTTTCAAATGGAAGCTTTGTATTAGAGAACTCTTTTGTTGGTGGCCACAATCAAATTCTCCCTGTAGGTCCCTGGTCTCATAGAGTCCCTGGATCCTTGAAAGGTGATTTACCCCTTTAATTAGAGTGTTACCCTCAGACCTGAGCTTTGTAGGCACCCTGGTCAGGGCCCACCTGGACTTTGGTAATGCCACATACCCCAGTGTCCATGATCCTCCAGTACTACATTATTGGCTCTCCTTGGCTTTTCAAGCCGCCTTTTGGTATTTTCAGATGAAGCCTGTCTGCCTTAAATGCTACATATTATAGATCAGTATCACACATGGGTTTTCTGGAATTGCCAGAGAAGTGGCTTCTATAAATTAGTAAAAGTGGGTTTCTCATAAGTGGTGAGCCCCCAGTTGTCTTCTCAGGTGCACCAGTTTTGCTGATACTATCCTCCCCAAGATGTAATGCTGAGAGATGTCAGTTTTCAAATAGAGGCTCTGTATTGGAGAACTTCTTCATATAGCTTCCACCCCTTGTTGCGCTGTGTAGTCTGGTACAAATTTACTGACGTTTCAGAGGTCCTTGCTGCCTCTATCATCAGGGCGTTGATGGAGGCAGCAGGGACCTTTGAAACATTGGTAAACATCTACCAGACTACATGGCACAACAACCCAGAAGACGGCCATCTTCAGACTCACTGCCATGAAAATATCAAATCCTACAATAACCAAGGTAGTTTCAAATTACCGGTCTGTGTAATTAAAAATACTATTACATAAGAATGTGTATTAGCACTAGTCCCAGATTAATGTAGTATATAATCATGTAATATAAAACCGGATAGCTACACCAACAGATTTCAGTTTAAATTAAATGTGCTAACTCTTAGTTGAGAATCAAGCAGTGGTTCTTGGTGACGGTAATGCCACTCAGTATGAGTATAATTACCCTGCTTGGCCATCTATGATCTGATTATGCTTAACACAGAAGATACATGATGTATGTATATAAAACATATATCAATCATTGTTTCTTTCCTTGAAAGAGAAATGGATGTCTGTCGTCTTACAAAAACGTTTTGTCGTCTCAAACACTTTGCATGCCACAAGGTAGCAGCTATTTCATCATAACGTGGTTGCCAGAGTGTTTGCTAGGTACCAGCATAAATTGGGCACGTCTAGGTCCAGCAGTTCTTCAGATTAGGCAGTGAGTGCCGTTAGACACCAAGTACCATAACCCTGCTTTCCCCTAATAGGAAGTAAATAAGCAAACAAAATTACTAGATTCAATTTAAAATCTGGCTTATAACTCTAGTAAATAATTTTGAGATGCTTTTATTTGTTACAGAATTATAGCTTCCTTTATCGAATAGAGTAAATGAAAACATATGAAAGCCTGATAATTCAAAGATTCAAATAAACAGTTGTGAGCCTTACAGTATCAATATGTATAGACTCAGTTGATCTGTAAGTTGAAGTAACATAGTATGATTCTGTTCAGTACTGTAATACAGTGAAACCTCGATGCATCGTTTTCGGCGGGGGTGGGAAATAAAAACGATAGATGCGGGAAA